CAAGTATACTCTTATCAAAGATGTGGAGGAGTTGCAAACAGGGATTTATGACAAACCTCTTCCATGCTTTGGCTGTGGAATAGGATGGTTCTCGTTAAGTGTTTTGCACCCTTCTCCATGCTCAACTGTGTTTCTCCTTGTCTCATGTCTGCCTTTTTGCACAGTTTCCTTCTAGGATTTGTGTTTCCTTTGATGTGGTACCATGCAACAATTCTTTATTTTGGAAATCACTACTGCAAAGACCCCAGGGAGAGAGCAGGCCTTGCTGCCTCTGCAATTGCTATAAGTTCTAAGTGAAGATTATTTGGTTTTGTACAAGCATTGCATGCATCACTTTTTTTTTTTTGAAAAGCAAAAGAAATATTTATTGATGCGGAGTACAAGGGTACCCCAAACCCGTAAACATCTTAGTTTGAAAGGCACAGAGTTAACAGCCCTTCCGTTAGGTGTCGACACCTATATTTTGTGTCGACACCATGTCCGTGTCGGGTTTCACAGTGCTCAGCCCTTCCAGAATACCCTAACCTCCCTTGTTGATATTTTTGGCACTGGGTTTCCTTAGTTGCATTTCTAGTACCTTCCAACTGTTTGCAGCATGCTTGTATTCTTCAACCTCCTCACATCCTTCCTTGATGCTTCAAACAGGGGATTTCACCAAGTTAGCTGCTTGTCCTTAATCTTTTCTCTTACTGGCACAATTGAATTTTAAGCAGCCCGTCGGGTATTGAATCCAATCTGACAGTGAAAAATAGCAGCCTTCCCTTTTACCTTTGATCCAGTTGAATGCCCTTATCTGTACCATCTCTAATAGCTTTCTCCTGTCAACCTCTTTCTGTTTAAAGATCTTCTCGTTCCTGGCAAGCCAGATTGTCCATGTCACCGTGAACCAGATACACTCCCATCCAATCTTTTCTGTAGTCATTTTAGCTACATTCGGGTGCTGTTCAAAAACCTTTTTACAGTCTTTGTCTTGTACTGTTCTAATGCCCCACCACTTGTAACAATCCCTCCACAAATCTGAAGCTATTTTACAGTGTATAAAGAGATGATTGGAATCCTCATTCTCCACCCCGCAGAATATACACTTGCACTCCTCGGGATTTTTCAGTATTCCTCTTTTAAAGAGATTGCTTCTTGTTGGGATCTTGTTTTGCAATAGCTGCCATACGAAAATTGATATCTTGGTAGGGTTGCATGCATCACTTTCATACGAACTTAACATATTTTCAACATGATTGGTGTTGCAGGCAATGGCATGTTCTGTTGGGTTGCTGATAATTATAGCTTTTCTTCTATTTTAGATCTAGTCATTACAGATCAGCTACGTGCTCCTAACACTTCTATACATTTCAAAGAAAGGAATTTTCTTCAAATTGCATCAACATCTAGTTCTAAATGCTATGGAACTGGAAGCAA